TTTAACTTTTTTTTTTCCAAACTCTAGTTACAATGAAACAAACTTTGGCACACGTGTGTCTACCCTCCATCCTCCCCAGCCCACTGCCCGGGCGTCCCTCTTCCTGAGTGTCTTAGGAAGGAGCGGGGACAGCTCTCATCCCTCCTGGGTTACCCTCTCCAGATCCTGGGCTCCTTTGACCTCCCCCATCACCACGGTGACAAATCACACACTTCTCTACTGTCCACCACCTCCTGAACCTTGGAGTCAACTGTCCCTCTTGATACCGTGTGACTGCCATGGGCTCAGAGGATGAATGTGGAACCAGCCCCACTCCCCTCTCTGCCTGATTCCTCATAGCATAGAACCACAAAGCTGTGTGGATGAAGCAGATTGGCTAGAGGGGAGGGCTCATTAAATGGACTTACACTGTGGGAGTAAATAAAAGGTAAAATTATATGGTAAAGTCAGCCATACTCACACTAGAATAAAAGCCACAGAGGACTTCGAACAGGGGTGGGTGGAAGAGTCGGCTTGAGCAGGAGAAATCTAGGGTGTTCTTGGCAATTCCAAATTGGGCTCCTGAGACCTCCCAGCCAGCATGGGGTTTGCATATGCCTTCTCGTCTTACCAACACACATCTCCCAAAGACAAACAGCGGTTCAGAGATCGAAGTTGGGCTTCGAGCTTCGTATAAAGAAAAGAAACATTTCTCTGCGTGCAATGAGCGCTACACAACTCTCCACCCACCGATGGGGATGTTTTCACCTTCTCTCTGCTTCCAGACGCAGAACAAGAAGGGGGCTTCAGGAGACCCTAATGTTTCTTCACCCTCAGGCTACATGAAAGACCTGGCTGAGGTTCTGGAATGACCACTGTCCTGTACCTGGAGCCTGAATACATCCCTACATGGGAGGCCTCCCAGGACGCTATCCAAATGGGTGGGAGGCAGAGTGATTTATCATCTTCTGGTCCAAGCAACTGACTTTCCAAGTTGCATTAGGGAAACTAAGGTTCAAGCGACTTGTGTGGATGCACTTTCCAGGACTATTTACACTGCTTTATGTGCATCCCTTCCGTTAATAATAATAAGGCTTGCTTCAGCCTTGTGCAAGACTTTTCTCTCTAAATCTGTAGTTCTCAAAAAGGGGCAGTTTTGCCCTCCAGGAAACGTTTGGTGATGTTTGGAGACATTTTCAGTTGTCACGAGCTGGGGAGGCTTGGGGGAGAGGCTGCTGGCCTCTCTGGGTAGAGGCCAGGGATGCTACTAAATACCCTATGACACACAGGCAACTCCCCACAAGAAAGAATTACCCAGCTCCAAATATCCAAAGTGCTGCTATTGAGAAACTCTGCTCTAAGTTCTTGGAAAAAACGAGGTTTTCCTTCATCTGTGACCACTATTCACTAGCTACTCACCCTCATGTCACTCCTGAATTTTACTTTTAAAATTCATCAGCCAGGGGCACCTGGGTGGCTTAGTCGGTTAAAAGTCAGACTCTTTATTTTGGCTCAGCATGATCTCAGGGTTGTGAGTTCGAGTTCTGTGTCAGGCTCCCTGTTCAGCAGGGAGTCTGCTTCTTCCTCTCCTTCTACCCCTCCCCCTCTGCTCATGCTCTATCTCTCTCAAATAAATAAATTCTTAAAAAAATTCTTCAACCAGTCTTCCTACAAATCATCTTCCAGAAGCAGATTAAGAGTGATAATGGCATTTACTGAGTTCTTACTGTGTGCCAGGTTCTGGAACAAGGAGTTTACATACTTTATGTCACTATTGTCCCCATTTTTCAGAAGAGAAAATTGAGGCTCCAGGCACTTGAGTAAGTTGCAAATGTCTATAAAACTGAAAATCTCAGAGGAAATCAATCCAGAATTCCAAAGTTTCTGCTCTTTAACTCAATGCCTTTCTTTCTTTCTTTTCTTTTTCTTTTTCTTTTCTTTTTTTTTTTTTTGTTTTTAATAAGCTCTAAGCCCAATGTGGGGCTCGAACTCATGATGGCATGATCGAGTCACATGCTCCACCAACTGAGCCAGCCAGGCCCCCTCACTCAATGCCTTTCTAAGGAAACCAGCAGTATTCAATTCATTAAGCAATTGCTTTATATGCAGAATTCTATTTTTCATCATGAGAATTTTTCTTCTTCTGACAAAAAGTATTTGTTACATAAATATGACTTCGTAATTATGGTCATCCATCATTTAGAACAAACTTCATAGATAGATTTAAAAGCACAGGTATTTTTTAAACTCCCTCCTTTCCAAGAAAATTTATGTATTTTATATATTTTTTTAAGATTTTATTTATTTAGGGACACCTGGGTGGCTCATTTGTTAAGCGTCTGCCTTCGGCTCAGGTCATGATCCCAGGGTCCTGGGATCGAGCCCCGCATCGGGCTCCTTGCACTGTGGGGAGCCTGCTTCTCCCTCCCCCTCTGCCCCGGCTTCTGTTCCCTCTCTGTCAAATAAATAAATAAAATCTAAAAAAAAAAAAAAAAAGATTTTATTTATTTATTTTTGCGAGCGAGCGAGAGAGAAACACCACACGAGAGCGTGAGCAGGGGGAGAGGCAGAGGGAGAATCAGACTCTCCACTGAGCAGGCAACCCCAGACGGGGCTCGATCCTAGGACCCTGGGATAATGACCTGAGCCAAAGGCAGACGCTTAACCAACTGAGCAACCCATGCGCCCTATATTTTGTATATTTTAGTCTCAAATTTAAGGAATCTTTTCATTTTTGGAACTTTCAGACTAATGCATATAATGCTTTCAATGGCAGAACCAGAAGCTTGCTCTATCCTGAGATGCCTGTATTAAAAAAACAGAAAGGAAAAAAAGCAAATTTTGTAATATTTACAAGAACATACTGAAATTTTTTTTATTCACCTGCCTGTCTCCTCCCTTGTCTTGTGTACTGGTTTTCGAATGCTACATAACAAATTAAAACAAACTTAGCAACTTAAAAAGCAGCCATTTATTAGCTCACAGGTCTGTAAGTCAGGAGTTCCTGCACAGCCACTATGGAACTGTGTTCTCTGCTCAGGGTCTCTCAAGGCTTACATCATGGTGTCACTCAGGCTGACTTCTCATCTGGAGACTGCAGAAAACCCACTTTCAAACCCATTGAGGTTATTGGCAGAATTCAGTTCCTTGAAGTTGTAAAACTGAAGGAAGTCTCATTTCTTTGCTGACTGTTGGCCAGGGGTTGCTCTCAGCTCCTAGACTCGGCTGTGTGGTCCTTGCCAGATGGCCCCTTCCATCTCCAACATCATTAGTGGAGAATCTCCCTGTTGATGAATCTACCTCATGCTTTGAGTCTCTCTCCAGGAAAAGCCCAGTCCCTTTTAACGTCTCACCTGATTAGGCCAGGCCCACGAGGACAATCTCCCTATCTTAAGGTCAATTGATTTGAAATCTTAATTACATCTGTAAAATCCCTCACAGCAATACCTTGATTAGTGTCTGAATAATTGGGAGAAGGTGCGTGTATATCAAGCAGGCATGGAGCTTGGGGATCAACTTAGAATCCTGCCTGGTTTATAGTCTGTAAATTCCTTGGTGGCAAAAATTGGGCCTTGTATGTCTGGTACCCAATGGATGCTCCATAAATGTTCACTGAACTGAACTGTTTTAAAGGAATTGGGAAATTCTGAAGTCAGGAAATTGTTACATGGGAGCATTAACTTCCAGGTGAGGACAACTCCCATCAGGAAAAATATAATAGGCAGTGCTCAGAATGCCTTTGGGCTGATCACCATCCTGACCCAGTCTGCCTCTACCAAAAGATTAAGTGGAGTTTCTACTTTCAGTATGGGAATGCAGCTGCGATTTAGTAAGGGAAATCAAGGGAAAAAGAATTCCTATCCCAGAAATGTACAATAGAACAATTTTCCAGAATCACACCCATTCTATTGAGTAAAGGGTGTGTTCAGAGGGCTGATGGTGTCATGAGCTTACCTAGGCTAGTCTGCCAGCATTTTCAGGGTGGAACTACACATTATTCATATTTATATCCCTAGGGCTAGCACGGTGCCCGGTTCAAAAGACCAACTTTAAAGACAAAAGCTGATTGAACGCGTGTAGAATGAGTGCTATTTAACGTGTCTCTGCTAGTAGTCATTCAATTCCTGTGGGCGAGGGCTCTTCCAATGCATTTTTTGCAATCCGGCAATGCCTGTCCCATTCCTGGCAACCAGTGAGCATTCAACAGGTGCAATCATGGGGCTGTGCACACTTGTACACTTATGTACTTTCTCCTCTCCAAACTAGTAGTTGGTCATTTTAAGTTATGCAATATGAACTGAAGGTGAATAATATTCAAGCTAGTAGTCTTACTAGGCTTATTTCTAAGAAATATTCAGCTTTATGGTCACCCCCCCAAAAAACCCAAAATCTTTCATCTTCCTTTCAAATGGATACTCATATCAGTGTCTAGTAAATGTATTTAGGAGAGGCATTTTTTTTTTTACATCAATCAGAGGACAGAGCTTTGATTTCTGAAAAAGAAAAGCTCCGTTTCCCTTAGATTTTCTCAGCTCCTCCATTGCTAGCCTCAGACAAGATACAAGTTATCAGCAATTCTGTGGGCGTCCCCGGCACTTAAATCGCATTCGGGAAAACACTTTTGCCGACAAGGCCTTCTAACAACAAATAAACGCTAGCCAGGACTAGGTGCATTCCCCGCTTCACTGTAAACTGGAAAGCCGCGGATTTCGGGTCCGAGCTGTGACGTCACCGGGCTGGTGGACCGCGGCGCCCGTCTCAGCCTCCGGTGATTGGCTGGGGCGCATGACGTCACGGGACGAGGCGGTGCCGGGCTCGGGAGGACTCCGGGATGCTCCGATGCTCCGGGTTCGCTTATTTAAAAAAAGAGAGAAAGAAAGAAAAAAAAGAAAGAAAGAAAAAGGGTGGTGGGGGCGAACCGAGGAGTCCGCCCCGCCCCGCCCGCCGCAAACCGCGCCGCCCGAGAGGGGCGGGCAGGGAGGCGGGGCGGGGCGGAGCCGGGCGCGGCGCCGCGCCGTCCAGGCCGCCGCCCACCCGGTACACACAGCATGTAAACAGTCCCCGCCGGGAGGAGCCCCGGGACCGGAGGGAGCCGCGCCGTCCGGCCCCGCCGCCTGCCCGAGAGCCCGCAGAGCCGCGCGCTGCCCGCCCGGGAGGAGGGCGCCCGAGGAGAGAGGAGGGCGGGCGGGCGGCGGAGGGAGCGGGAGGCGGGCGGCGCGCGAGGAGGCTGAGCGAGCGGCGGGCGCGGCGGGCCAGGATGGATTTCCAGCAGCTGGCTGACGTTGCGGAGAAATGGTGCTCCAACACGCCCTTCGAGCTCATCGCCACCGAGGAGACCGAGCGCAGGATGGATTTCTACGCCGACCCCGGCGTCTCCTTCTACGTGCTGTGTCCGGACAACGGCTGCGGGGACAATTTTGTGAGTGCCGCGGGGAGGGACGGCTGCAGCGAGCGGGAGTGGACGCGCGGCCGCCTCCCTGCGCCCGAGCTGCCGCACGCCGGGGAGGCTGTGGGCGCGGGGTGGAGGCGTAACCGGCCCGGCGTGGCGGTGTCAGCGCTGCGTGGGGCGGGGGGAGGCGGGCGCGGGGGGTGGTGGGCAGGGGCGCCCTTAGAACCCGGGAGCCGGACTGGGGCGGGCTGTTTCGGGGACGCGACCCTGCGGCCCGTGCTTGGTGCTCGGCAGGGAGCTTCTGCCGAGCGTCCCCGCCGCTCACCAGCCCGGGCCGGGGCGCACGGACCATCCCGTAGGGCCCGGAGTCTCGAGCTTCCTACACCCAGGCGTCCCGTCGGGGTGAGGCATCCCGTTCCCCTCCCGATGCGCAGACACAACTCCTCGAGTTGTCCCCGCCCGGGAGAGCCCCCGCCCCCGCGTGATCCCCTGCGCTGCTGGTTTGGACACAAAGCCTCGGTCCACACTAGCGATGCCCCATCTCCTGGACCTTCTTTGCGGAATTACACCCCGGATCTTAAAAACGCACACGCGCGTGCGCGCGCGCGTGCACACACACACACAGGCACGCCTATCCCCCCCTCTCCTATGCTTCCATTGCTCCTCTGGGAGCTTCCAGCGAGGTGTGCGGGGCCCGAGCACGTTCGGTCCGGCGGAGGCGGCGGCCGAGGCCCTGGCGAAGCCCCCGGGTTTTTCCAGATGAGGGGAACCCCCCTCCCCCACCCCACTCCCGCCCCGAGCTGGAAGGGACCGGGACCAGGAACTGCGGGGTCCACCTCTTCCACTTTGTATCCTGCGCCCACTTGGGATCTTGGCGCTGGCAGTTTAGGAAGGGGATGCGGCGGGCAGGGGAGTTGGGGTGGGAGGTGCGCAGAATGGGCGAGGATGGCGCTCCATGAAGTGTTTGTAAGGCCGGGGGAAAAAATAATGGTCCCCAAATGTAAGATGGAGGCGGCTGTGGGCTCGGGTTACTGTGTGGTCGCCGGCTGGAGCCTGGATCTGGCGCTGCTGCCGCCCCTGCGGACCGAGGTGGGGCGGCGCCGAGGCGCGGCCTGGCGCTGGCCCCCCAGGTGGGGGAGACAAAGCCGGGCCCAGGTCCCGGCCGCCGCGCAACCCTGCCCGCCGCGGAAGTTCGCAGAGGAGTTAGAGAGACAGCAGGATCGCCTTCCTTGGCCCCCGAGAGACGAAGGCTTGTGTGTGACTTGCCGGGAAGGCATGCCCGTCCCACCACCGGCACCCTAGCCCCGCGGACGAGAAGAACACACCTGGGCCCCAGAGTGGGGCACTAGAAGAGAGATGCCTTGGGTGCCAGCCAGATTTGAGTTCTGCCTGTGTGACTCTGGTCAGATGCCTTCCGGCAGCTCAGTTTACACATCAAAAAAATGGGCATAATACCAGCACCCAGGTGATGCATAGATAAAACACCTAACCTCTGGGCAAAACAGCAAAGGCTCCTCAGAGACCTGGGCTTCCCCAGAGTTTAGAGCTTGTCTGTCTTTCTTAAGAGCCTCAATTTTCTCGCCTGTAAAGTGAGGTTAATCAGAACACCTCCATCACAGGGACTTGCGAAGAGCAAGTAAACTATAAATATATGTAAGAACACTGTTACCTGTAGTTAAAATAAGTGTTATTTGTTATTGGGGGGGAATGGAAGATCGTTAAAAAGGGATTTACTCCACTGCAAACGTGTGAGAAAACCCCAGGGTTATACTGGAAAGAGCACCAGTGTCCAACTAACTGCCACATTAGGGTTTGATTAGGAGTCCCTCCTAACCCTAGTCTGCCAAGTGGCCTTTCCCACTCCTTACTGTGTGAGATAGAGCAAGAATCACCCAAGGTTCTGGATTTTATGGGGGAGAGTTCCACACAGCCTTCTTGCTGGAACTGCTGGAGACATACCCAAAAAAATTACTCCACGGAGAACCATTGTTGAGAAACATTATGTATATCACAACTTTTTTCAAGGCCATACAAAATATATTTTAAATGTTCTCCCACCTGTGTGAGTAAAATGCTTGAACATATTCACTCTCTAACAATTAAATGAAATAGATAAGGAAGAAAGTGGATGGAAGGAAAAAGTAATTCCTTGGGTAGATTGGAACATTCTTAAAGTTTCTGGAGGCCATAATGGACAGCATGCCAACCACCAGAGATTTCTTAGCCCAAATCTCTCCTCAGATCTGTCCCAGGCCAGGTTTGTCAAGCTGCCATTTGCCCCTAGTTAAAGGGACTCAGGCATGAAGTAAGTGTCCTGCCTCCGTCCTTTTCCTTTTCCCAGGAAAATCCTGTTAAGTATTAGAAGAAATCTGAGATGAATGGAACTCCCGTAATCCGAAGGATTTATTAATAATAAGAATATTTACATAGCTTTTCTCAATTTACAGAATGTTTTCACGTGACTCATTCATTCATTCATTTATTCATCAAACATTTATTGAGGGCTTGCTTTGCACCAGGCCAGGGCCACCTAGAATATAAATAGGATCTCTGCCCTCACTTTCTTGGGGCCATTCTCCCCATCTAAGGGGCAGTGTGGCACAGTGGTCAGACTACGTGGGCTTGCACCCCAGCCCCCATGTCTAACTGTGTGCACTGGGGAAAGTTCTTTAATCCCTCTGTGCCGTGATTTCCACATCTGTAAACAGGGGAATGATAACATTAGTACCTTTCCAGCAGGCTTGTTTAGAACAGTGCCTAAAATAGAGGTGGTGTTATTAGTGACTCTCTGGCAGTCTCCATACAGCAATCACTCTGGATCTATTTAAAATATAATCCAGGTCATGACCTATGACTCTCCACCTCACCTAAACTGACTTCCTATAACTTTTGACCCTAAAACCTGAGCCCTTGCCCTGGCTTCAAACCCCCACACAGTCTGTCTCCTGCCACCTCTCTGACCTCATATTAGACCAGTCTTCCTCCTTGCTTACTATGTTTGTGCCATGCTGATTTTTCTCATCCTCAGACATGCCAAACTCATTCCTGCCTCAGGGCCTTTGCATTTGCTGCCCCCTGTGCCTAGAACATTCTTCCCCCACATCTTCGCATGGCTAGCTCCTTTATGCCATTCAGGCCTGGGAGAAAACTTCCTGACCACATATTCCCTCATCTCACCCTCTTTTATTCAAATCACAGCACTCATTAGTACTTTATACTCTCTTGTTTGTTTTCTGCCTTCCCCATGAGGCTGTAAGCTTCATAAGAGCTATGGCCTTATCTGTCTGATTTATCACTGGATCCCAGAACTTGGAGTAGTATCAGACCCGTGATAGGTGCTCAGCCCATGTGCGTAAGTCACTATCATACCACCATGCCTTCACCATGAGAGTGAAGAAGGCAGATGTTAAATTTCAAGAATGCCAGCTTCAAAGAACAGTAACTACCACTTATGTGCAATTGACTATGTATCGGACACTGTTCTTTGCGTATACAGTAGGTACTTTGTGTATATGTGCTTGTTTAATCTTAGTAATCCTACAAGGTCCTCTCTGTGATTTTCTCCATTTTACAGACGAGGAAACTGACACATAGCAAGGTGTACTAACTTTTCCATAGCTAATAAATAGTAGAGCAACTTGAACCATAGTCCTATACTGAAAACATAGCGTCCCAGGAATGACACCTGCAAGGGCGGCTTCTTATTGGGCCTCACAAAAAGTCTGTGAGTTAGGTATGAACCCCATTTTGTAGGTGAGGAAACAGGCTCCATTGAAGGGACTCTATCCAGGACTATGCCTCTAAGAAATGACAGCCAGGACTTGAGCTCAAGCCCAGAGGCCTGTCATTTGCACCATGCAGAGTGTCAAGCCAGGAGCTCCAGAGGGCCTGGGGAACAAGGGCTTCCTTTTATTTTCCTTCCACTTTGGCAGCTCCTCGGTCCCTTGTGCACTGTTTCCTCTTCTCATCTCGCAGGCCACCCTGTTTACACCATCCCTTTCCGCACTGCTGCCCTGATTCAGGCCTGTCTCTGTGGACAGTGCACAAGGTCAGCTCCTGGGATAAAACGAAGCTGCCTTTGCCCTCTATGTTGGGCAGTCGGGGACAGAGCCAGCCCTGGCTTGCTCTACAGGTGCGATAGGGAAGGGCCGAGAGCTCACAGACAGGTGGCATGCTCCCTTCTGCCAACACAGAAGGTCCGGAGGGTTTCGTCAGGCTGCAGGAGTGGGGTGTTGGCATCCACTAAGGTACCAGCCGGACAGACGGGCACGTGTGCATGCTCTCCTGGGCATGGCAGCACCAGCTGCTTTCCGTCCTTGTCGTAGGCCAGGAGAAAGGAGTTCTAAACCAAGAACGCTGCCCTGCGGCTCCCTGGCGCCTGGGTGCTCATGACTGGAGAAGGGGAGGGCTGCCTTATTGTCCTATTTTTTCTGCCAACCCATCAAAAACATGTTTGGATCTAAAATTTGGTACAGTTTATCCCTCCTCGATGTGAAAACAAAGATAGCAGTTGTCACTCTATTGAAGAAAAAAGGCTCTATTTATAGAAGGACCATGTGATTTAATTTTAAGTGTGTGTATACATATATTTGTATATATTTTCCCCCATTTTTGTTCTAGGCATGTCTCTATTCTTAACTATGTGACCAAATAACAACGTTTTCATTTTGGAGAAGAAAACAGAACTTGTCTAAATGAGATTGCATCACCTCATGTGGTGGGACAGTGGAGAAAAAGCACCTTCTTGTCCAATTTAAACTCACCCTCAGTTTCCTCCTATGTCAAATGGGGATAATCATACCTATATTATGGTATTATTGTGGGGATTAAATGAGAGGTGGTGGTAACTGTAAAGCTTACCACAATGGCTGTGCATTATTCATATAGAGATTCTTTAGGGGAAAGCGTATGTCTTTAGTATATTCATAAAGTGGTCATCCTGAGGAGAGTGAAGTTATGCTAATATGAATTTCAACAGATGGGAAGAAGCACTCTGGGCTCCTGCTAAATGAGAGGCAGTCTGTAGGCTATCCCCTATCATCTTGCTAACCACACTGTATTATTATTTTCTGTGACTTACAAATGAAGGAGCTGAGGCTCAGGTTGAATGTGTGCTCACCTCTGTTGATATCTTGGCTTTGCCCCTTGCTCTCTGTGTGACCACAGACAAGTTGCTTAACCTCTCTGAGCTTCAGTTTCCTCCTTGGTAAAACGTATCAGTGGCCGGCACAAAGAGCAGGTCATAGGTATGGCCAGCCACACTCTTCTTACCCTGTGCAGAAGTATTTTGGGGGGGATGAGATGGCGTGTAGCTTTTCTCTTTTAGCATCTCTTCAGTGGACAGCAGTCAGTTTTGGGTTAAGCCACACTAACTCAAAATCGACTCCCCAGTACTAATGATGGCAGAAACCCCACACGGCAGTCCTACAGTGAGAGTGAGGCCCCTGGCAATGAATTTTCACTCCGATGACTGAGTCCAGGGAGGAGAAACAGGTGTGTTCTTTGCCCCCCAGCCACCCCCCACTCTGCCTAAGCACCAGGAAGCCAAGCGCCATGCCCGCAAGTGTTAGAACAGTAGGATCACACAGACTGTGCTCAGAAAGATATTTGCAAGATTGAATTACCATAGTGGTCTAAGACCATTTTTGGATGAGCTGGGTGTTCTCATCTATACTATAGAGAACAGAAAGGTGTTCATTTTCCTGTGTGCAGATGCCACGGTTCTAATGTCTTAAGCTGGACAAACTTTGATGCTAAACTCTGGTCCAACTTAATGACAGAAGGGCCACAGATGGCCTGTTCTAAAATCAAAAGTTCTCATCAGGGATTTTCATCCCCGCCCCCAAATATGATTCGTCGAAGTTCTGCTCTGGTTCTGGTTCTCACAGTGTGGGCCCCAAACCAGCAGCATGAGCAGCACCCAGAAACCGGTTGGCAATGCAGATTCTTAGCCCTGCCCCTGGCAGTTGTGTCTTAATAAGTTGAGGGATGGGGAAGGGGGGGTGTTGTGGTGCTTGCTGAAGCTGGAGGACCACTGCTGTCCTCTCCTTCAGAAGCCTTCCCTTGGTATTCCTCCTATTATAAGGTGCCTCAGCTCTCACTGCATGGTTGGAAAGTCAATACATTCTGTACCTAGATTTATATTTGCCAGAGAGTTACATTGTTCAAAGCCACAGGTTCTCTGACCTCTGCTATAGTTTTTTCATGGCCAAAGTGGCTGTTTGGTTGAATTTCCAAGTCGGAGTCATTGTGGACACACCCGGTGGTGCAGGGTTCTGGGTCTTCAATCACCCATTTATCTTTGTTTAAGACTAGACCCCAGGATCTGCTTTCAGGAGCATCAGCCCAGCCACCAGACATTCTGTCTGCCCTCTCCGGGTTTTAGAATGGGCCCCTCTCTTTTTCCTAAGAAATGACCCTCAGTCCATCGCCTGTTCTGAAGAGCTCGTCTGTTTTTTCCGGGGGCACTGCCTCGGGCCGCTGATGGAACCTCCTTCTCTGCATAGGCCTGTAGAAAGCCATAGAGGCAGTCTGTGTCCCATCCAGAGCAAAGGGCCAGGCCTGTTTCCCTGGCACTGTTGGTCCTAATCTCACTTGGTTTTATATTCTTCTCCTTCCATTGTTTGCTCTCTGTCCTTATTTTCCCAACTACAGACTCTTACCTTGTCTTTTATGGGTCTTTAATGACTGCCTTGATTCATTTCGGAAGGAAACCGTTTCAATAAATAAACCTGAATACTTTCTGTGATGAGCTCCTGTGGGTATGAAACAATTAGCATTAACTAAGGGATGTCCTTTAAGCGGCCACGAGCACCTGAGTTGGTCTGACTCCAAACCCCACGCACCCTCGTGTTATCATAGGGGCAGGGATTTGCTTAAAACTTTTTTAAACCCACAAAACCAACACAACTGAGAGTTAGACAGCCAAATCAAGGAGATTTAGGCAGACTAGACAGAAGGTTCTTTAGCAGGTGGTAAGTCTTCCTGCTCCAAAATATATTCATAAGTCAGCAACTCCAGAAGCGGAGCAATGAAAATTGTGGCCTGAACACTCTCCTCACGAGGTTAGAAATGCCCTAGAGACACTTAGAGAACCTGTCTGATTTCCAAGCAGTAGTGGATATGAGGCAAGTCTGTTGCCTGAGTGATATACTTTCCTTAGTTTACTTTGTAATTTAAAGCCCAAATATACTTTCAAAAGTAGATATCCAAGGTTCTCCTAGCTACACCAACTGGTGAATGAACTAGAACTCAGGTTGCCTTGGGCACTGTTCTCCGTGAAATCACAGTAGGTGTCTCATTTGCTCACCGCGTGCCCTTCGGCTTGGGGCAGGTGGAAAGCCAGCCCATGCCCTTCCTCTCCCTTCTCCTGCCCACACAAAAGAGGTGAGAGGGTGCTTACGCCCACCGCCCACCATTTATTGAACATCCACTACATGCCAGCCAGGCACAGTGCCAGGCACTTAATGAACTTTTTCCTTTTTCTCTAATAGTTACAAGCCTAGGAAAGGCAGGATTATAGTTTTCTATTGTGCGGTGCTGGATATTAATCCCATCTTTCACTTGGTTAAGAATTTGAAACATGCTGGACCTTTAAAAAATGTGAGCATGAAAATGGGTGCTGAGCAGAGCTTATATGAAAGCAGGACTTTATTGTTCTTGCTGAATCCCTGCCGCTTGAGAATGAAGTGTGGTGATGGATCTAAAAGCACTTTGTGCTATTACACTTTTGTACAATGTAAGAGACTATTACATAAGTGGCATTTCGGTGGCTCGACAACTGTAAGGGTCTCTAATTAATAGGGAATTGTGTTTGAGCTATTGTCTAAAGTGAGGGAATCTAGAAGTTATCTTTGTTAGGTCGGGGCAGAAGTTCCTCCAGAAGTCTGCTGGAATTAGAGCAGTGCGTGTGTCAGAAATGGAACTTTACTTCTACAAAACACAGATAATTTGGGGGGGAAATGGCACATTAGCACCTAGGTAGTCTCTTGGACCTGAGCAGTATTTTAAGTCTGTAGGTCCCGTTCTTAGAAATGCTGCCAAGGAGAAGGAAGGAGGTGAAATGTGTTTCTCGAGTGATTGACATAGAACTTTCTGGGGTGATGCCCTAATCATTGTATTAATGGAAGGGAGCAAGGGCGTGCTTGGCATAGACTATTTCTCCAAATAGATCTCGTCTCCTGCTGCCTTGTTTCTGCTCCTTGCTTTAATTTGCCAGCTGTCTTCCTCCCTCCCACGCCACTACACTTTTCCACCAATGGTGGAGCTGTCATGGATTGGTCCCCTCTAAGCAGTGACTCTTGGTCAGATACCCTGACGTTACCCTGGTAGCCCAGGGCTTCTCCCTAGCTCAGAGATGCCGAGCAGGCGGGGGCGGGGGGGGGGTCTGCACTTGGGATCCCTCAAGCCTGTTTCTTGGGCTTATTCCAGATCTTTGAACATTATGGGAGAGACTTGTCTGGTCTTCAGGAGGTGCTAAAACAGATATCCTCATGCGGGAAAACAAACAAACAAAAAAACCAAACCTTGTCTAGCCTTAAGAAAAAATAAACCCTAAAACCGGTCTCCTCTTGGTGCATGTTACCATTGGGAAGCAAGCCCTCTTGGAGCATTTGTAAAGAAGGTGAGCTTTCAGAGAGCCTTTGCTTCTCTATGACCCCGGCAATGGCTTTTCTGGGTGTTCTTGTAAATTCATTTCATTTTTGTTTTGTTTTAATTCATTTCATCTTAAAGTAAATATACCATCACCCCCACTCCCAGGCTCATCTGAGTAAAGAATCTCATTGCAAGTTCGTGGTTACAAACTATGCTTAATTAACCCCTCAGCTATAGTTGAAAGCGAGGTTAGAGATCCTGCAGGCTCTTGGTTCTTCCTCCCTGCTGCTTTAAAACCCCCCTTACCCAGCTCAAGAAGAAGGACTGTGGAAATTGTGGGTGGGGGACTATTGATCCCCCTGCCTTTTTTGCTACTGCTGAGCAGATCTGCTGGAGAATTGAGCGGGTGAGATTATGGACGGAAAGCACAGGGATTTTCTACGGGGTAGGCATTTTCTCATCCCCTTCAATACAAGCGAATCAAGAATGAGCATCAGGGGCGCCTGGGTGGCTCAGTCGTTGAGCGTCTGCCTTCGGCTCCGGTCATGATCCCAGGGTCCTGGGATCGAGCCCCGCGTCAGGCTCCCTGCTCGGCGGGAGGCCTGCTTCTCGCTCTCCCACTCCCCCTGCTTGTGTTCCTGCTCTCGCTATCTCTCTCTCTGTCAAATAAATAAATAAAATCAAAAAAAAAAAAAAAGAATGAGCATCAGAATTTTACTTGGGAACAGAGGCCTTCAAATTTCTGTCATTCAAAAAAAAAAAATCTTTTGGGCTTTTCGAATTTCACACTGAGGGTAATGACTGTGTGTCTTTTTTTTCCCCCCCTCCCCCCGCCCCTGGCTGTGGGCACATAGCACGTGTGGAGCGAGAGCGAGGACTGCCTGCCTTTCCTGCAGCTAGCACAGGATTACATCTCCTCCTGCGGCAAGAAGACGCTCCACGAAGTCTTGGAAAAAGTCTTCAAGTCTTTCAGACCTGTAGGTGCCTGCTTGGCTTCCACAGCCATCTTGTTTTCTACAATGATTGTGCGCAGAATTACAGGGACGGCGGGGAAAGTGGGCAAAACCTGGGATGACTAATTGTTTTTCTCTTGTCTGCTTTGTGGCTTAAAGATAGCAGCGAGGGGAAGGAGGGAGAGGCGGGGAGGGAGGGGGGAACGGGATGTGACACAGCTGTTTGTTGCAGGAGTGATGGTTATTTCTAGCATCACTTGAGAATCTCTGATAGGGTGGGAAGCAGACAGCCTTGATGAGACTTCTGAGTATTCCTGCTCTTGTCCAGTAGACTTAAGGCCAGAATGCTTGGAAGCGCCGTGGAGGTTCTCTTACCATAGTGAGGCCTATATTTGGGGAGCTGCCGGAAGGCTATATACAGGATGTGCTTCCATGTCTATGGGTACGGAGAAGGATGAAAGTGGATACTGGTCGTGTTCTTCTCTCTTTTTATAAACTCTCTAGTAGAGAGCTTGCTTTCTGCCCGCCACCCACCACCCCCCCTCCGCCCCACCCCAGTGTAGGATTTAAGAATCTGTATATCCGGGGCTAGCTGACAGTTTGTTTTCATTCTAGCTGAAAAACGTGTAAAGTGAATTCTCACCCCTATTTTAAGATGACCTATTTCCCTTTATCTTTACTGGGAGGTAAAGTCACATTACTGGTGTCATGATACTCCTCCCCACCCCCCCTCCAAGTTCAGTTCCCTGCCCACCATAAATTCTCTACACCTTCAATGATACTCGCTCTAGAATTTTTTTTTAGATCTTTTAAAAGAGTATCTACTTCTCTGTTGCAATTTTCAAGCTTGCCTTTCAGTGCTCTGAACATAGTGGGCATGATTGCATGGTCGTGTGAGAGACTGTCTGACATTCCAGTATTTTAAGGTGTGTAAGTCTGTTTCGTTGCCTTTTGTTTCAACTGGCTCTCACTCTTGGTATCTGGTCTCTTTGCGTCTTGGATTATCTCTGTGTACTGGTTATAGTATTTGAAAATGTGTATTTAGGAGTAAATCGAAGTCTGAGATGATGGTACCTTCCTCCAGAGGGGATCTTGATCTATTTCTGCTGGGGCTTGGGAGGCCCTATCAGCCTGAGATCACCTTCAAACGATTTAAGACATGTGGTTCTTAGAACTCTCCAGGTGATGAAAAACCAGGCTGCACGTCTGCTTTCTAGTCCATCCGTGTCCTGAGAGCTGTCTTTATTAGTCCATTTAGGCTGCTGTAACAAACTATCAGAGACTGAGTGGCTTATAAACAACAGCCATTTATTTCTCACAGGTGCAGAGGCTGGGAAGTCCAAGATCAAGGTGCCAGTAGATTTGGTGTCCAGTAAGGGCCCACTTCATAGACAGACAGCTGTCTGTTCACTGTAACCTCACATGGTGGAAGGAGAGGGAGATGTCTCTAGGGCCTGTTTTATAAGAACACTAATCCCGTTCATGTGGGCTCCACATTCATGACCTAATCACCTCCCAAAGATCCCACCTCCTAATACTGTCCCCTCAAGGGTTAGGATTTTAACATGTGAATTTTGCAGGGACACAAACATTCAGACAATAAGAGGTCTTTGGGATCTCAGCTTAAAGTGGGGATGGCTTATCACGGTGTGCTCCTTTGGAAGACCCTGGGTTTGACTTTGGTCCCCCTAGCTCTTAGAGTAGGCCAGGAATGCAGTAAAGTTTCTAGCTGTTTCTTTCTAGGTCAGCAGATGCCCTCAGGACAAAAGCAGCTTTTTATGTTTACCTCTCTAGGTTCTAATTCTTCAATATATTTAAGAAGGCATTTTTCACATTTAATCCAGCTTTTTTAGTTCTCTGAGCAAGAGTTGGTCCCAATCACTCAATCCACCATTACAAGAAATAGAATTTCAGTGGCTTTTCTCACTCTCTCTGATCTGTATCATTTGTCTAGCCAATTTGTTTTTTCTTTCTTAATTTTCTAAGCCTGCTTGGCTCATTCAGAACAGACTCGTGACTGAAAAGTACTGATCTATCCTTCATGCATTCCATATATATTTATGTGTACCTGACTACTCTGTTCCAGCACTTAATTCAAACAGATGAAAATCTTATCCTTATATTCTAGTGGCGGTGGGGGGACAAGGTAAATAAGTCCAGCACATAAAGTATTAGTGATAAGTGCCAAGGAGAAGAAATGGGTAAGTCGGGGTAAGGCAGTAAGGAGTGTCAGAGGTACTGGATTTTTTTATTAGGAGACCAGAGGAAGCTTCACTATGAAGTTCACATTTGAGTATGACTTGAAGCGTGAATCATGAGGAAATCTAGGGGAGAGCTTTCCAGGTAGAGAGAACAGCAAATACAAAGGCTGGGAGGGGGGCGGAGGTGGGTGGGGAGAAGAAATCAGTGTTCAGGGAATAAGGAGGGGCTTATGTGGCCCGAGTGGAAGGGTGGTGGGGAAGAGCAAGAGAGGAGCCAGAGGTATTTCAGGGGTTTGCAGGTCACAGAAGGATTTAGGTTTTACTCTGGTGTGACGGGAGCCATCGGAGGAGTTTGAGTGCAAGAGGGATCTGGCTTGGGGTGCCTGGGTAACTCAGTCGGTTAAGCATCTGCCTTTGGCTCATGTCATGATCTCATGGTCCTGAGATCAAGCCCCGTGGTGGGCTCCCTGCTTGGCGGGGAGTCTGCTTCTCTCTCTCCCTCTGCCCCTTCCTCCGCTCCTGCTCTCTCCCAAATAAATAAAATCTAAAAAAAAAAAAAAAAAAAAAAAAGCCAGAGGTATCTGACTTCACATTTTGAAAAGCTCCCCTGTGACCAGTTGAGAATAGGCAGCAAGGGGCGGGTGGGAGCAGGGGACCAGTGCGGAGGCCGTTGGGTCGCACAGGTGAGAGGATGAGGGTCACAGTGAAGGTGGAATGAAGGGGTCAGACTCTGGACTTGCTGGCGGGGCCACAAGTGGGGAGTGAGAAAAAGAAGGCAAGGATGATCCAGAGTTCCTTGCCCGCGCAATGAAGGGAATGGCGCTGTTCTTTACTGAGATGGGGGGAGCTGCAAAAGGAATAGTTGGGCGCCTGTACTACCAGGAGCTTGGTTTGGGGCACGTCACTGTCAGAAGTGCCTATTAGACATCCAAGCAGAGATATCAAAGTAGGCAATTTTTTTTTTGAAGATTTTATTTAGTTCCTTCACAGAGAGAGACACAGCGAGAGAGGGAACACAAGCAGGGGGCGTGGGAGAGGGAGAAGCAGGCTTCCCGCAGAGCAGGGAGCCCAACATCAGGCTCGATCCCAGGACCCTGGGATCATGACCTGAGCCGAAGGCAGATGCTTAACGGCTGAGCCACCCAGGAGCCCCCAAAGTAGGCAAAATTTTTAAAAAATTGAACCCCCCCAGGAGCACCTCGTGGCTCAGTCGGTTAAGCATCCCACTTGATTTTGGCTCAGGTCATGATCTTGTGGTCCTGGGATGTAGCCCCCCCGCCCCCCCGCAAGGCTCTGTGCTCAGCGGGGAGTCAGCTTCAGATTCTCTCTCCTCCTGCTCACTCTCTTTCTCTCAAATAAATAAATAAAATCTTAAAAGAAAAATTGAACCCCTCAAGTCTTAACCAGAAAAAAAATCTATTCGCCAATGAGATCCACTTTGCAGTTGGTGTCCTCATGGGGGTTGCATTCATGTCCCCACCACCTGGTTTTCTTCCTGCGCCCCTTCTCCTGGATGGCAAGCAAAATTCCTACAGAATTGGCCTCACTGGAGAAGGCGAGCTCCCGCCAGAACTCGTTTTGCTGTTTTTCTTTACCAAGAAGACCTGGCCGCGTTTCGGCAACCAGGCAGCCACATGGAGAGGGAAAGAAATGAATGCAGTCCAAGAAAATCCAGGTGCATAGCTGAACGCAAGTGGGTTGTTTGAACATTTTCTTTCAGATTCTGCTGCTGCGTGCCCTGGAGATACACAGACTGGATCTGATGTCGGACTTCCAGGGTTCCCTTCTAGAGCAGAGCCTGACATTCTAGGCAGGGCTGTGCTCCCCAGGAGAGGAGGCTCCCCGGTACAGCGCCCCTCTGGTGGGGGAGTTGATAATGTGCCAGGCGCCCTCTGGCTGGGCTATTTTGCCCCTCAGGGAGAGGCGGGTGGGAGGGCCGGGCAAGGTGAAGTGCAGGCAGGGCTTTGGGTTTCCTTCAGCCAGGATGTGCCCCAGGTTGGATGGTTCGAGGAGCATGACAGCCCACAAGGACCTTCTGCTGGAGGCCCACAGGAAACTTTCCCCGCTCTCCTCCATTCACGGGTGTGGTTCCTCCCACTGCTGCTATTTGTCTGTTGGTTTCATGTAAGGGAGCTTTGTGTTTAGAAATAAGACCCAGAGGGGCACCTGGGTGGCTCAGTCGTTAAGCGTCTGCCATCAGCTCATGTCATGATCCCAGGGTCCTGAGATCGAGCCCCGCATCCGGCTCCCTGCTCAGCGGGGAGCCTGCTTCTCCCTCACCCCTCACCCCGCTTGTGCTCTCTCTCTCTCAAATAAATAAATAAAATCTTAAAAAAAAAAAGAAGATGACGACCCAGCACAAGGGCTTGCCCAACTTTGCACACTGTGCCTTCCCCCTTCTCCTCTCGGGTGTGCCTTCCCCCCACCGAAACGAGCAGTATCACAGTCAGAGTCCTCCCCCGACACGTAAAGAAATCTGTTGTTGGATTTGAAAAGCAAAAAAGGTTTTTCTTTTCCTTTTTCTCCATCTCACTCCTCCTCTTTTTTCACTATTTCTTCATCCCATTTTCAACAAAATATATTGATCATTTGCTATTTGCCAAACACCACTTTGGAGAGTGAGGAGCAGGATGCAGTGCCCAGTTCTTGCCCTCGAGGAGCTGACTTTCTGGTGGGAGAGACAGCCGCGAAAACGTATGTGTTACAAGGCAGAGTCCAGACACTCTCCTAGATACTGTGCAGAATTAGCAAAGGAGTTCCATTCCCCGCTGTGCTTACTCCACTTTGGGGAAATATTTCCTAAGAGGACGTTAGTGACCTTGT